AGGCAGGTGGGGTCAGGGGGGACCCCCCCCTCCTCCTCTCTACTGTGTAGTTGCGAACTGCCTGGCTGGTAGACACACTCACGCAGTGTGAGCATGTCTACCAGCCAGGCAATACACAACTACATGCTGATACTCATGATAATAATAAAAACTTAATTAGAAAATACCAGACATTTATATGTCCAGTATTTTCTCAATTTGTTTCCTGGACAGAAAGCTGAAATACCAGACTGTCCGGTTCAAAACCGGTCACCTGGCAAAAGAGCAGCTCCCCACCAATCTCCATGCTTTCCCTTTGGCAAATACAGTTTCCACAAACATGTACAATTAACATTAAGACAGTATTAAATCAGATATGGTTAAATAAACTTTAATGTGAAGGGTGTGGTTGCTTGGATAGATTGTATAAGATATCTTCATTCCGTCCCTTTTCTTGTTTTTTTTTTTACATTTATTAACCCTGAGTCTCCACTTGTTGACTGTAATCCCATCTGTTCTAATCTTCCTAGGTCACTTTGCCGTTTGATTTTGCCTCTCAGGTTACATTTCAGCAGTGAACACACAATCACAGGCACCGAATTTCTAGGCCTGATTCTGCCTGTACTTACTGTAGTGTAAATTAAGAGTAAAACCAAAAAGAAATCAATGGAGTAATACTATGTGCAACTGTTTTACTGACCAAAGTTTCCCCAGAACCCCCACAAATATTTATGGCACACCAGATGACATCATGAGAGAGTATGCCTCCTGATAGCTGATCAGGAGTTCTTCCCAGGCTGGATGATACTATGAAAGATAGACAAACTGAATTAGCAGTGTACTTTGCAGAACACAAATCTGAATTGCAGCTTTTGTTCAAGAAGAGAAAAGGGGACCATTAAACTGAAGATTGTTCACCACAACTATGAACAATGAGAAAAAGACCAAGACTTCCCAGGGCCTCCAACACATTTAGGGTAAGTTATTTTTATTTTAACACAGTAAGAAGACTTCAACTCTGGAAATTCCATGACAGCCATACAGAAGAACATAGGTTCTTCAGAGGCTGCACATCTGCACAGTCTATAATCGCTATTAAATATGTCTATTATAATACCCAGAAGCCCTAATCACGCTTGGGGCTTCCTTTATGCCAGCTGCTGTGTAATAGACACACACAAAAATCTTGTCACTATCCTGAAGAATTTACAATCTAAGATTATTGATTTACAAATAAATTTATCACATACATTCATTTTTATCTACTGTTGGCCTGGTGCAGACCCAGTTAAGCAATTGTAAGGTACTATAATATCCCTAACCGCTACATAATAAAAGCAAAAGTTGCCGCTTCTTAAGCACTGTCATTAACTACTAAGTTATCAGAATGATCACAGCTAGAAATGTATGAGCCCTTTTGAACTCAACAGTTTCCTTGGAAAGTTTAAACTAAGTTGCCACACAAACAATTTAAAAGTTAACTAATATAGATAACCAATGGATACCTGTGGTCATATAGTTCCACTCCCAAAGGAACATTCTTTTACAGCCTGACAGTACTCTTGCTATAAGATTCTTTAACAATCTAGTCATTATAAAAATGATTCACTTCTCTAGAAAAAGATAAATGGGGAACCAGAGAATGCAACGATTTTTTCCCATTCAAAGCATACCAATAGGCAAAATTCAAGCATTCCACCCCCAAAGAAGGCCATATATAAAGTTATAATAGTTTCTCATGCATTAACAATTACTTCTAGTCGCTGGAAATTAGATTTGTCTTTTGATTGCTCTAAAACTGTTATCATAAGTGAAAAGCAGAATCTATTCAAGTGAAAGAAGCAATGGACCATGAAAACTTGCTGTACATCTAAAAGTAGAGATTTAAAAAAAAATCTTTTTATTCTTTTTTGTACTGTTACAGTGAGGAAGAATTACACATATTGAGGATTTGGGTTTTTTTCCAAAAACTGAAATATAATCTTTCTTTAAAAAAATACAAAATTTCACTTAGAGCCCTGGATATATGAACTTTATCATTTGAAGAATACAAATGAGGATATTATATTTTGAAATGTTAGTAATTTTTAAATATTTTACAAATAATGCATACAAAACTTGATAATCATCAGCAATATGAAATCATCATCCAAAGATTTAACAACAAAGATTTATTAAGATTTATTATTTATTTGTCTGAGGACAAACCACAGATCTAGAGATAAATATACAGCACCGTTATTCAAGGTTCTTAAAAACAAATCAAATATATAATATGTAATGTAGTGCAGTTAGTTCTAATGGTGATTTAACTAAAATAAAAACAAAACAGCGTAAGAGTATGTGTTAAATTCTGTATTGCTGAATTTCTCTTATGAACAAAAATAAACCAGGTAATGCAAACTGACATATGCAATATTTTTTCAGAAATGTTAGCAATTTACTGAAAATGGAAATAAGTGGGAGGAAAAAAGAGGGGTTAATTACCCTGCAGTAATCGTGGCTCTTTGAGATGTTATAGTGAGTGTGCTCTAGATGCATATACACCTAATGTGTTCAACCTCAAAGTCTTCTTTGAATAGCAGTGTATATCAGAGCTCTGTATGTGTGCTTACTCTCTCATAAAAAGGGCATAAAAGGCAGAGTGACCCTGACCCTTCCACTGTTGCCTCACAATTCAAAGGCTGTACTAGCTGAGGATTTTCAAAGAATGGATGGAGGATGAGTTGTGGATCCACGACGACATCACAAAGAACCATCATTACTGTTGGGTAAGCAATCATTCTTTCTTCTTTAGATATGCGTCAGTGTGGATCTCAGTGTAGGAGACTGGCAGGTAGTATTCTCTTCAGGATGGTGGGCATGAGATGTATCATCCTCATCAGTTCAAAAGAGGTTGGAGTATTGCTCACCCAAACTTTGCATCTGATCTAGCAGCCAAGCCAAGTGCACAATGCTTAACAAACCTGCTGAATACTGCTTCCTGTAATAAAATTGCAGGTTTTGAACACTAATATTTGGCACCTCATTGAGGATGCTACTGGAGCTCGGGTACAATGAACCCTGTCAGCAGGAGAGGAACATCAGCTAGTGTCAGGAAAGTAAGCATGTTGTCCATTTTGAAAGCATTTGGAATTAAGTGGCTTGACCTTTGTAGAGACCAGCTACAAATACATGAGGACTATCTGAAAGATTCTGTCCTATCAATATGGTGTTGAAGAGCTTTGAATATGTCCAAAGCATGCAGCTTCTTCACCCATTGCCTAGAATATTGCTTTCAGAAGAACTCAGGTAAGCTGACTGACTCAAATGGAATTCCAAAATCACCTTGGGGAAGACACAGAACTCTGTGAGAATGAGTCCCAGCTGATCTCCTAGGCATCAGTTGGAAGGCATAAAGAAGGCCCTGATTTTACTGTAAAAGAGAAGCATCTGACAATGCATTCAGTGATGACCACAGAGTCAGGGATCAGTCTTGAGACAACTAAGCCCTTGCGGTGGTAGAATCTATCCTGTCTATCCTGAACTCTTAACTGCAAAGGACTGAGACACAATTTCGTGTAGTTCACCAGGACGCTCAACCAGATGAACAGAGAGGGCAAAGCATAGGACTGATGTGATCCGCCTCTTATCAGCCAATCATCCAAATACAGGTAGACATGGATGCCCTTCTTCACATGCATTACCACCACAGAGAGCCTTTCAAAAAGACTCGGTGCCTTAGGGAACCCAAAAGGCAGTACTTTGTACTGACAGTGACTAGTCCCCAATGTGAATCACAGATATTTTCATATCACCATTACCCGAACCACAGGAACTACATGTCCTGTCAGCTGAGAACCAGAAACCAATTTTGAGCTTGGAGGGATCGAATAATAGAGGCAAATATGACCATTCTGAATTGACATGATGTATATTTTTGTTTCATCTCCTCAGATCTAGAATAGGAAAAAGAAGGAAATATGGGGATTAGAATCCTTTTCTGCCTCTATACTCCTGTGGTACTCTTCTATGGTTCATAGACAAAGTAATTAGGTTACATCTGTTTTCATGAGACAGCTCCTTGAAAGAGGAAAGTGAACAGCCCAACAAGGAAGTGAGTTAAATGGTGCAGCCATAGGCAACGTCCAATACCAATTTGTCAGCTGTACTGTCCACTCAGACCCAATGAAAAGAAGTGAGATGGTTTCTAAAGGTCAACTTTGGGGTGGTTTTAGTATGGCTCTCAATCATCTTGTTAGGCCTATTTACTGCCTCTTGTAGGGAGGCTGATGCACAACTGAGGAAGTAGGGAATGCACTCCTCCACAGATAGCAGGGTGGCTTCTGGATGGATACTCAGGCCAGAAACTGTGGGCAAAAGATGGTGTTTTCTGTCTCTGGGGTGACTGGTTCTTGAAGGTTCCAGAGGGATAGCTATATTAGTCTGTAATTTTAAAAACAACAAGCAGTCCTGTGACATCTTAGAGACTAAGAAATATATTATGTCATGAGCTTTCATGAGTAAAACCCATCTCATCAGATGAGTTGGAGTGGAAATTACAGAATCCAAAGCATATGTAACAGCAAAAGCAGTTACTTGTCAATTACAGAATGAGTGTTAATGAAGCTAATCGAGTCAGGCTGGATGTGTCTCATTCATAGCTTTTGATGTGTAAATGCAAATATCAAAGGCAAGGGAAATAGCATTAACCAATTAATATCTTTATTCAAGCCCAAGTTGATAGTGTTGAACTTGTAAATAAATTCCAGTTCAGCAGTCTCCTTCTATAATTGGCTGATAAAATTCCTTTGTAGAAGAATGGATACTTTTAAATGTTCCCCTGTGGGTTTATGTGTATTACCATTCCTGTTGTCTGTTTTGTGTCCATTAGTCCTTGTTGCAGAGACTGTCCAGTTTGCCAATATGGATGGCAGAGGGCCATTGCTGGCATTTGATGGCATATATTACATTAGAGGATGTGCAACTGTATGAGCCTCTGATGTTGCAGCTTATGTGGTTAGGTCCTTAGGTCCTGCGATGGTGTCGCTAGTTAGTATAGATGTGTAGACAGAGTTGGCAATGGGGTTTATTGCAAGAGTAGGTTCCTGGGTGAGTGTATCTAGTGTAGTATGTGGCTGCTGGTAAGTATTTGCTTAAGGTTGGGGGGCTGTGATAGCCAACACCATAGATTATGTAGCTGTATTAGATTTACCTATTATTACTTGTAGCACCGACCTGGCTTACATTTGCTCATTGTTAAACACTTTTCTCTGTTCTTCCCCCCATTACTGCTGGAGCTGAGCTAGGAAGGGTCACCCTGTCCCACACAAGAAAGTTGTATTAGTGAACAGTGCTTGATAGTTCATGATGTGGCCATTAAAGGAAGGCTAAAAAATAGGCTTTTTCCAACCCCCAAAGTCCAGTTTCTTGGGGTCCTTGTCTTTTGGAGTCCTCTTGGTGGATCTGGTCTTCTCCTGGATTGCAGAAATGAAAAGCAACTTGTGTCAGATGGGCAAAAAAGAGCTTGAAGGCCTTTGGACAGATCTGGTAGCATTTTTCTACAAATTTTGAGGTCACAGGAATGAGTTTGGAGTGTGTCACAAACCCTTCACAAGGTCCAAAAGGACATCCATTGGGTTTTGGGGGAGGGGCGATTCTTGTGGACATGGTGGAGCTGAAATTGTCAAACAATTTATAAGTGTTTTTTGGGGTATTATCATTTCAGTGTACAATGTGCCCACTACTTTGACAGCAGCTCCTGGAAAGCCCAGAAAAAGCAGCTGCTATCGGGGACAAGACTGCTTCATCCATGGAAAGTAGCTGGAGAATATCACTTGCTACTTCTGTTACATCCTTAGGAAGCTCCTCTGATTCTAGTGATGGTGATGTAGCCAAAGATGCTAGTGGCAGGCAAAATATATCCTCTTTGCTAAGACCTTTGATAGAGTCCCACCCTAATATTTGTGGGACCATGGTGGCAGATTGTATTGGTACAAGCCAGAGTGTAGGTGGCCTATCCATTGCCAGTCCTACCTCTGTAATATTTCTGTGGATACTGTCATTGTTTCTCAGATGACGGTTCCCTGCCTGATGAAAGTGAGAAGTAGTTACCTATGATGGGGAGCAAAAATAGCTCTCTCAAAATAGTGCTGCTAATAGGTACAGTTTCAGTGCTAATGTTATTGAACCTGAAGCCAATACTGAAAGGATCAGTAAAGAAGGTCTGGCTTTTTGTCTTGCTGCTGGTGCCCCTCATTAACACTGAGGATTTTGAGGGCTTCTGTATGAACCTAGAGTCTTCACTGCATGATAGTTATGTTTAGGGCCTGTGATGGATGATGCTAAACATCCTAGCATTCAGTAACAAAAGGGATAAACTGAGAACCATGGGTATTTAGGAAGTGTTGGCACTGAGCCAGAAGAACCTATGGGAAGAGAGGGAAAGATTTTGAAATGACACAAGTTTTGCCTGTTTCCATTTTCCTTTGTGTGTGAGTTTAGAGCAGTGGTCCCCAACTTTCTGAGGCTGCCGCGTGCCATTGGGTGGGGGCGCAAGAATGGCTTGGGCTGGCCCTGGTCACTCGGCAGGCACACATAAATGCCATGGTGCCCACGGGCACCACGTTGGGGACCACTGGTTTAGAGCAAGAGCTGGGGAGAGTGAGATGGACTGAACCAGGAACCAAGGCATGGATTTTATGCTTAAGGAAAGACTGAAACCCTGGAACAAAGGATATGTAAATGAACAGAGAATGTTTTGTTAGACACAATAAGTTATTTTTTAGGGTTTGGGTTTTTTTTTTTTAGTTTGGTTAAACTCATCTGAAACTGAATCCCAGGGAAGCAATTCTTTGTGCCTCAATCTTTTTTTAGCTACTCTGTAACACCTAGCAACCAAGAATGCTTTACCAAATATATCTTCTTTGTTTTGTTAATAAAATCACCCTTTTAAGACTGTAATCTAACTTCTGTGCCCTAGAAGGCAGACAGTTCTGTGTTGATGTACCTGAGAATAAATGGCATTTTTAGTACTAAGTCTAATTCTAACTAGAAATACAAGAATTTTTTTTTTAAAACAAACTGCTAACTGTGAAGTAACTACTAACTAACTAATAAGGAAACTATGCCTAAGACACTAAGTTAACTTTTCTTTTGACTCCTGACAGAGATCTGTGAGGAGGTTGAGCTCGCTCCATGTGAAACCGTGGGCAGCGAAGGAACTGATGGGAGCTGGACCATGTGAGAGATCAAAAGGCACGAACGGCCTGAGGCGTGAGCCACACATGCACAGTTCGGCTGATGACTGCTCATCAAAACTCCAAGCTGCGGCACCGGGACGAGCCTGACACCACCAGTGGAGCACTCACGGGGACACCACCACCAGTGGAGCACCTACGGGTACACCACTCGAAGAAGAATCTCCATTTTAAGACTGTAATCTAATTCCTGTGCCCTAGAAGGCAGAAGGTTCTGTGTTGATGTACCTGAGACTAAACATCAACTATTAAGAGACTGCAGTTTGTTTTCAAGCTCTCTCCTAATGGAGTGTTAAGAGCTTGGGGTTACCCCACGGGGAGAAGTTCACAAGTGCTTCTTCTTGGACGAAAGGGGTTTTTGCATTTGGGTGGTGGCTGTGTACCACCAAAGGTCAGAAGTCTGTGACCTTGCGGAGTTTTTTAAACAGAAGCTTCTAGTGACAAGGTATTTTAAGGTCTCTTGCAGGCCCTCACCTTCTGCACTCAAAGTGTCAGCATGGGGAACAGTCTTGAGGGCTCCTCCAAATTCACAGTCCATTGTGGCTAATTTTATGGACACAGGATTTGAACAGTGATAAATTTCACATTTTCACCTGTTTAAATCTGAAACTTCCCCGTGTTGTGACCCCAAAAGGAGAGGGGGATCACAGACCTGTTGTATGGTGTCAGAGGATTGCCATCCTCATCTCTATGCTGCTTTCAGAGCTGGACTCAGAAGTCAACAGCAACAGAAGGTTCCAAGAGGTAAAGGTGGCTCTGATCTCCCCTCTGCTGCTGAGGTACCTCAGTTAGAGGCTCCTCGCTGCTAGTCCTGGGCAGCTTGCAAGATACAATACTTGCTCTCTCTCTCTCTCTCTCTCTCTCTGTGCAGCTGTAGAAAGCTCTGCGCCCCACACACACTTCTTGCCCTATTGTTCCCTTACCCAGTCAGAGCTAGGAAGCCCTCTTTGATGGTGCGCTCCCAGGAGCACAGGAAAGATATGATACAACTCCACAAGTCTCCAGCTGCAGGAACCTCAGGCTGCTGCCCTGTCCCAGACAGTGTCCTGCAGCAAGGCGAAGCAACCAATGGTGGGTCTGGTCTGGTCCCCTCCTCCCACCACCAGAGCATTTTGCAGGGGAGGGACAGGTCCTGTCCTTCCCCTGCCCAGTCATAATTAGGAAGCCCCCTTTGATACAGTGCCTAGGAACAAGGAGACATCAGATTTTATGGAAAGGGACTTATTTAATGGTCCATAACACTTTTTTCATAGTTGTGAAATTGGTAGGGTCCTAGTTATGTTGAACCCTCCAAGCTGTGTTTATATTTCATACAATAGTGCCTTTCTGGCATGGAGAGCAGGGCTAGGTCTCTGATCTCAGAGTAAGTGCAAACAGTTACTATCAAGACCTTCAGCGCTGAGGCTGGTGCACAAACCATAAGTACTGCTTCTGGTCATAATAAGAGGAGAGGGAGAGTGAAACAAGGAGGTGGCACTGGCGGGGACTGGCAGAACAGGAAGTACTAATACCTCCTTTTCTTTTATGGAACCCAAGAAAAGTGTGGGTTGGACTGATGAAAGGGCTGTAGAATGTCATGAAAGGTGCACCATGGTTCCAGAATGGATCCCATGGGGGCCATCAGAGCCAAGCATAGGAGTATTTGGGCAGCAATGTACTCTTGTGGTACACAGTGCCCTGGGTCAGTGGCCCATAAGCCAGAGAATGAAGTGATCTACACCTGGGATACAGAATGTGAGCATGGGCAGGTGAGTAGGAGAAGGTCCAGCTCCAAGAAACCCTCAGAATGGGGTCCCAGAGAATGGGTCTTGGAACTGTGGATCTAATGATCCGTGGTTGGTGAAAAGCGTGTGCCTCTTTGGGAGGAGTAGTAAAGGTCCATCTGGTGGATAAGGCAGGACTGAACTGTGGGGGGAAGCAAATATAACAATATAAGGTAGCAGCTACTCTGCAGTAGGCACCAGCCATTCTAGGCTGGGCATACAGGGAACCGTTCATGGCAGATCAGAAAGGCCTGCCCATGATGATGGTTCCAGAGTGTTGACCACGGGCAGTGGAAGCCTGGGTAGAAACTGATGCTAAGAGGAGGAGAGGCAGGCAGGCTAAGTCCAGTACTAATATCTTTGTGTTATAAAGAGTTCCTCTGCACTTTTCTGTCAGTCTTCCCACAACATTCACTGGAGCACAGGCAGCAGTGCCATAAGAAGCCTTTCTTCAAGTATTGATGCCCAACCCAGTACACAGCCTTGGAATTTTTAAAAGAGCAGTGAGAGTTGGGCCAAATGATCAGTGAAACCAACAATCTTTCATACCACAGGCTCATTACAATCAACAGAAGTGTTGCATGCTAATTCTCTGCAGAGGAAAGGTGGTGATTGGTTGAGTTACCTATCATGTCACGATGGCCCCATTTACGAGTTAGCTAAGATGTTGATCTGAGCCTGTTGATAGACTATATAATCACAGCAATTAGAAAAAAAAATCCTTACCCCTTGTAATTAAGTTAATCTAATTTATTCAAATATAGCCTATGCGCAAGATTTCAATTAATTCTAACTATATGGGAAGTTTGAAATGTGCGTGCTAATCTCTTTTAGATCATTTAGGACAAACAAGGGACCTACACAGATGCTCAGTTTCTTAAAGGACTCCACTGTAATTATTTTAACTAATAAACTAATATATTTAATTATACATTCTTAGAAAACTCAGAAAATTCATTCTGTATAATGGGTAAGTGCTTAAAGAGTGCTCTCAAAAAAGGTGATGGTACGCCGTACCAGTGCATACTGTCACAGAGAAATCACTGACCATAGGTATCCCAGAAAATCTATGCTGTGTTGAAGTAGTGTGTCCACTTTTTTGGAACAATTTTGCAGACATGTTCTTCCGCCATCCCTGTAATCCTCATTGTATGAGGAAGAAGGGATGTTCCGAAAGAGGAGGTTTTACCGAAAATTGGCCTTATGTAGATAGGCCAAATTTCGGAAAAGCCTCTTTTCAAAAAACACCCCGAAAAAGATACGCAAATTACAACCCGCAATTGCATATCTTTTTCTGACTTTTCTTTGCAGTCTAGACATAGCCTGATTCAACTAGTTCCTTCAGTATACTAATGTGAATTGTACCAGCCCCAGCAATTTCAATTCATCTAATTTATAGTATTCTTTAATCTGTTCTTTCTTTACTTTGACTTGCAAAAAAAAAAAAGCTTTTTCCTTGATATTAATATTAGCATTTGGCTACACTGCTAAATTTAACACAACAACCTGGTCATGGTGCCAGCATTGAGAGGGTGTGTCGACACTGCTCCTGTAGCTCAAAATAAGCTATGCAATTTGAACTAAGCAAACAGTATAGCTTATTTCAAGTTAATTTCGAAATAGCTTATTTCAAAATTTGACGCAGTCTACACAGCTCTCCTTCCCCACTAAGAAGAGAACCTATACTTCCCTTTGTTTTCTCTTGTTCCGAATGTATTTAGAGAGTCTCCTCATTTTGCCTTTTATGTTGCTAGGTGTAATTCATTTTGTGCCTTAGCCTTTCTGATTTTGTCCCGACATGCTTGTGCTATTCTTTTGTACTACTCCTTAGCAAACTGTCCATGTTTCCACTTTTTATAGGATTTATTTTTTATTTTCAGGTTATTAAATAGCTTTCTAGCTTTCCGTCATGAAACAATTTGCAGTTGTGCCTTCTATATTGTCCCTTTGAGAATCTGCCAGCTCTCCTGAACTCCTTTATCCCTTACATTTTTTTCCTGTAGGACCTTATGATTAAAGAGGCTTTTTAAAAAAACCTACTCTAATGCTATGTAACACTCAGAACAGAAGCATATGACTGCATCTGCTTGCAAGGAAAAATCTTGGAAGGGTTTAAATTATCAACAAATTCACTTCCCTCAATCAGCTTAACAAAAATGGTGACAGTATTAGGATGTCTTGGCTTACATAATACTATAATGGCTACGTCTAGACTGGCATGATTTTCCGCAAATGCTTTTAAAGGAAAAGATTTTCCGTTAAAAGCATTTGCGGAAAAGAGTGTCTAGATTGGCATGGACGCTTTTGCGCAAAAGCACTTTTTGCGGAAAAGCGTCCGTGCCAATCTAGACACGGTTTTGCGCAAGAAAGCCCCGATTGCCATTTTCGCTATCGTTTTTTTTTTTGCAGAAAATACTTTTTAGCTGTCTACGCTGGCCCTCTTGAGCAAATACATTTGCGCAAGAGGGCTTTTTCCCGAACGGGAGCAGCATAGTATTTGCACAAGAACGCTGACAATCTTACATTAGATCGTCAGTGTTCTTGCGCAAATTCAAGTGGACAGTGTAGACAGCTGGCAAGTTTTTCCGCAAAAGCATCTGCTTTTAGTTTTAGATACAAGGCTTTAGACACGTTATAATTAGTGATCATTAGTTAAAAATCCAATGTGGCCACCATTTATTTCTACTAGAGATCCTCAAAATGGAGGACACAGACTTAACTGACCAACACTGATTAAGAGATAGGGATGACATATGTCATGATTATGAGAGTTAGCCAGCAGCCTGGGGATTAAGGGGTTAACTACACCTAGCCAGGTGGAGTGACCAGTACGAATGTAGGTGGGACTTTCAAACTGGGACAAAGGAATTTGGTTTTTTTTCTTTCCTCCCTTTTGTCTCTCAAGAGTGAGTTCTCTTCAGCTACAGAGAGGGACAATCTTGTCTCTCTCTCTCCAAGACACCATTCTCCATTTTCTGTAAGTAGGGTAAAGTTTAGGTAGTTTCGTTAGGCTTTATTGTTTTAAGGGTCGGGTATGGGATCTGAGATCTGGCACTGTTTAAAAGATGTTTTGGCTTTTCTTTGTAACTAAGTTCTAGGCCCATGGAGTTTCTCCATGAGTATATTTTGTTACTTTCCCATCAAGCCATTCTGCTTACAACAGGAATATTGTTGTAATAATAAAAGTTCTTTCTTTTCTTTTTATTAACCTGGCAGTGGTTGTGTGCCCTGATTTTTATTTTAGGGGTGAGATTCCCAAATGATCTTTCCCCTGATTTCTTTATCAACATTTGGGTGGTGGCAGCGGAAGTTTTATTCCCAAGATCTAGGTTTTTAAGATTTTGGGGGAAGTTTTATACCAAAGCCTGGTAGATAAGGCTTTGGGGTACATTTGCTGGCCCCCACTTCTGCATTTATCATGCCAGAGTGGGGAAGGAGCCATGACAACACACATTTCAGTAAGTTACTCCAGAATACCTCAAGAGAGATCTAGAAAGAGCAGCAGCCTGAGAGACCTAATCTACACTGGGAGTTTAGATTGAACTTAACTGCTTTAGGTCAATTTTCTAAACAATGAGTCCACACCACTAAACTTGTTTTATTGATTTTAAGGTCCATCAAAGGTATTTTTGGTACTCCTGTTTTCATGAGGAATAACAGTAAATTTGACCTTGCATGGCTGACTTTATGGTAGTGCAGACATAGCACTGTTAAAATGGATGTTCTTGGCCTCCAAGAGGTCTCCCACAGTATCCCTTAAATGAGCCAAAATGTTCCACAGAATCTCTATGGATAGTAATTCCACGCTCCAAGAATAAGTATATAGCAAGAGGGATTTATTATCATCTGATCAGGACAGTGAAAGTGACTATGAAATACTAAAGGAGATTAGAGAGGCTATCAAAATAAAAAACTCAGTAATAAGTGGAGCACAAGATCTGGTCAAAGAGGTAAATATAACTGGACCGCTTCGAAATAGTGACCACAATGTAGTAAAATTTAACATCCCTATGGTGAAAAAAACACCTCACCAACCCAACACTATGGCATTTAATTTCAGAAGGGGGATTTACACAAAAATGAGGAAGTTAGTTCAACAGAAATTAAAAGGTACAGCGACAAAGTAAAATCTCTACGAGCTGCATAGAAACTTTTCAAAGACACCATAATAGAGGCCCAACTTAAATGTATACCCCAAAACACACAATAAGACCATGTCTAGACTACAAGGTTTTTCGAAAAAAAGTGGCCTTTTTTAAAAAAAACTTCACCTGAGTCTAGACTGCCGCCGTGTTCTTTTGAAATTAAATCGAAAGAACACAGCAGTTTTTCAACAGCGGTAAACCTCATTTTACGAGGAAGAATGCCTTTTTTCGAAAGAGCTCTTTCAAAAAAAGTTCTTCAATGCAAACAGGGCTTTTTCGAAAGAGAGCATCCAGATTGCCTGAGTGCTCTCTTTCAAAAAAGCGGATCTTTTTTCGAAAAAATTTGTGGCTTTCTAGATGATCTCTTTCAAAAGAAGCATGTAGTCTAGACGTACCCTAAGAGAACCAAAAAATGCCATTGTGGCTTAACAGCCAAGTAAAAGAAGCAATAAGCGATAAAAAGGCATTGTTTAAAAAGTGGAAGTCAAATCATAGTGAGGAAAATAGAAAAGAATATAAACTTTGTCAAATTAAGAGTAAAAATATAATAAGAAAAGCCAAAATGAGTTTGAAGAACAGCTAGCCAAAAACTCAAAAATAATAGCAAAATGTTTTTTTAAGTACATCAGAAGCAGGAAGCCTGCTAAACTAACAGTGGAGCCACTGGATGATTGAAATGCTAAAGGAGTACTCAAAGACGATAAGGTCATTGGTCATTGTGGAGAAACTAAATGAATGATTTGCTTCAGTCTTTACCGCTTAGGATGTTAGAGAGATTCCCAAACCTGAGCCATTCTTTTTAGGTGACAAAACTGAGGAATTGTCCCAGATTAAAGTGTCATTAGAGGATGTTTTGGAAAAACTGATAAACTTTACAGTAACAAATCACTGGGACTAGACAGCATTCACCCAAGAGTTCTGAAAGAACTCAAATGTGAAATTGTGGAACTATTTACTGTAGTTTGTAATCTATCTTTTAAATCAGATTCTATACCTAATGACTAGAACATAGCTAATGTGACACCAATATTTAAAAAGGGCTCTAGAAGTGATCCTGGCAATTATAGACTGGTAAGTCTAATGTCAGTACTGGGCAAATAAGTTCAAACTGCAGTAAAGAATAAAATTGTCAGACACATAACTGAACATAAATTTGCTAGAGAAAAGTCAACATGGTTTCCGTAAAGGGAAATCATGCCTTACTAATCTACTAAGGTTCTTTGAGAAGATCAACAAACATGTGGACAAGGGAAAAACAGTGGATATACTGTACTTAAGACTTCCAGAAAGCCTTTGACAAGGTCCTTCACCAAAGGCTCTTAAGTAAAGTAAGCTGTCATGGGATAAAAGGGAAGATCCTCTCGTGGACTGATAACTGTTAAAGAGAGGAAACAAAGGGTAGGAATAAATAGTTAATTTTCAGAATGGAGAGAGGTAAGTAGTGTTGCCCCCCCAAGGGTCTGTACTGGGACCCATTCTATTCAACCTATTTATAAATGACTTGGAGAAAGGGGTAAACACTGAGGTGGCAATATTTACAGATGATACTGAATTGCTCAGACAGCTAAGACCAAAGCAGACTGTGAAGAGCTCAAAAAAGATCTCAAAAAACTTAGTGAATGGGCAACAAAATGGAAGCAGAGTGTCCTGGATCCCGGGGTGCTTTGCTTCCCGCAGTCAAGGAGCACAAAAAGCTGGAAGCGAGCAGAGAGGAGTGGAGTAGGATGCCAGGTCTGTCTGGCTCTCACTGCTGCCATGAATGTCTGAGAAGGAGCTCATCCCTACTGCTGCCCCATGCCAGGTCCCCCCAACTTATGTTGCTCAGGGGAGGGGGCTTCAGGCAAGGAGGCAAAGCATGGACAGGAAAGGATGGGGCAGGGCAGAACCTGTGGTGGAAGTGTTGCATTGGGCCCTGAGCCTGGGGTAATGGGAGGATGCCCCATATCCCATGCCTCTCTAGGGAGGGCCCTGTGTTTTACGTCAACTAGGGATATTAAATGTAATTAACTAATCGAATGGTTGATG